TTGTATTTCGTTACGAACATTCCAAAATGTTCTAAAATACAAAATAAACAGCTATTAATTCTATTATAATTTATTTGTCTCGCACAGCATAGCATAGACACCTTGATGGTAATGTTAATCGATGACTGACAGCTCAAGTTGAAATATGCAAATTTTTACTTGAATTATTTTTGATATGTTTTTAGTTTTTACATCTTTTATTTGTGAAAAAATATATTAATACGCAATACATAGAGAAGCGAAAACATATTGCAAATTTATATGACAATAATATCATAAAAAGAGCGCCCCATTAATAGAAGCACTCTTTGCATTTGTCATTTTTCCGTACTTGAGCGCGCGAAATCTCAGCCCTGCCATTCGTTAAATGTAATCGCTTCCCGTTTAAAAGCTATTATAGTCTCGACATTTTTGTATTAGAATTTTCTTCTTAAAATATTGTAAGGAATCTACCATTAAGAGCAATTCCGGTGGTTTTAGGACACCCTGTATATGAAAGCTTTTAGAATTAGCTGAACTGAAAGGTTTATAAAATTAGTTCATGTAAAAGGTTTCAGAAATAACTCAAAAGAAAGATTTCAAATTTAATATATATGAAAGCTTCCAGAAACACTTGAACTAAAGGGTTTATAAAATTAGTTCAAGTAAAAGGTGTGATGAGTCGCGTACTGAGGGCACGCTGGCTCGTCACGCTCGAGGAGTTCTAAAGGCCATAGACGGCTTGCCGGTGTCCGGGGATCGGGAGGAAGGAATAATTGTCACTCCGTTGGTTTAAACAAGAAAACAGTTTTTATTCAGGACTTTCCACGTACAGATATCGGCGCGACGTAAAGACGGCGCAAAGACTTCGCAACGGCGGCGCGGATGATCGCGAGCGTTTGCGTTGCTCTACGAGTGAGCGATTGTTGTCACGAATACAGTTTCACGCAGACGCGGTGGCGGACAGAAGTATGAACGGACGCAGACTTAATCTAAGCGGACGGTCGCGGTTTTTCGAGAACGGTCTTATTTTAGTTATCTGGGTGAAGGCGAGCTGGGGGAGTCGACAGCGACCGACAGAGACGGCGAGCACACAACCCCAATCCCTCGCAGCTCGCAATCACCCGGTCGGGTCGGGATGCCGCGAGAGTACGGCGTCGAGAGGCAAGCACACATCCGAAAAGCGGAGTCAAGTTGCCGCGAGAGCACGGTGTCGAAAGGCGAGCACACCTTGGAGAAGCGGTATTCGGGATGCCGCGAGAGCACGGCGTCGAGAGCGAGCACACCCTCGTGCAGCGGAGTTAGGATCGGGATGCAGCGAGAACACGGCGTCGAGAGGCGAGCGCACCTTCGAAATCGTGGCTGTTGCGGCCGCAGCGACGGGAATGGTGCCGTGTCTCGAGCGCTCGGCTTTTATACCCGCACGGACCCGCGTCACGCTGCTCCCACCCAGGGCGCTGCGACGTCGGATCACGTGCGGGTGCGTGAAAGGCCACGTGGCCATTAAAGTGGCGCTAAGCGCCGTGTACATCGACACGACGGATGTTCGGTCGTGCCGGTGTGGTTGAGCCCTCAGGCACGGGCTCAGTAACACTTCGTTACAAAGGTTTCAGAAATAATTCAAAAGAAAGATTTCAAATTGAATATATATGAAAGCTTCCAGAAACAGCTGAACTGAAAGATGCAACGAAGATCATGCACGAACTTCCGAATCTTAGTTATGAGATATCTCATATGTTACATCATATATTATATCTTGTACTTTGAAAAGTATCAGAATAAAATATCTTGGAAATATCAGAGTAAAATATCTTGGAAAATATTCACTTTTGAATGATTTTGTTTTTATATCAGAATCACAGAAGTAAATGAACAAATAGGATCGATTTATATTAAAAAGAAAAAGATTAAATTAAGAAAAATTTTTTTTATTAAATTGACCTTGACAGAGTTTTTTAAAATCATTCCAAAGTCAAATAAATATTTTGAACTAATAGATTTTCTTATATTATATCACTTTTGTCTAAAACATATTTTCCAAAAATGTATTGTTGACAAGATATTTGATTGTATCTTGATTTTTTATGCACAGGGCATTATTCTTTCAGTAATTATTGGCTTTGTTTTAATTCGCAGTGAACAAAGCAATGACGAATCAGTCGCAATATTCAAACACAGGAAGACCTACTGTACGCATAGCCGTGTACTTAATGACGGGGGTGTTCTTAATCATGGAGGTCGACCAGAACGCGACTGCGCAGCAGATTTTCACGATCGTGCAATCCGAAGCAGAATTGGGTCTAACAAGATTAGCCTTGGTAACTGCTACACCTGTATTTGCGCTATGGATGTGTTCTTCGCAGCTAGAGGTACAGCTGCGTCCAACGCATAAACCCGTAGAGCTAGCCGCCAAATGGTGCTATCTCATAAACAAGTATAGCTCGCATGGAGACAACTCCGACGATGAGGAGCCTTTGTTATACTTTCGCAGAAATATTTTTCTGTCGAGAGCAGAGGAAGAGCAGATCAAAGACACTAAAGTGCTCGAGCTTCTTTATGCGGAAGCCAGATATAACGTTTTACAAGGTAAATATTCTTTAGCCAAATACAATTCATAAATTAATAAATAAAAAGGCTTTAAGATATACAATCAAAATTACAATTACAAAAGGGCCTATGAGAATTAGGTGCAAGAAAGAAGTGCACAAATTTATTGATTTAAAATAAAGGGTTGTTCCTTACATAAAAAATGTTAACGAAACCGCAACGCAAATGTTTCGATCCATCATTGGATCCTTCTCAATATAAATTAGAACAAAGTTAATATGGTAACAGAGGAAAGTCGCATTCAATTAATTCATTACGCCGTACACTCAGTTGCGTTTATGCTATACTATTCCCCAGATCGATAGTCACTAAAAAGTTTTGACCAGCCATGTCCGTTTCTAGCTAATCTAGCTAATTTTTCATGACTGTTGATTCATTCGGCAAGCGGGAATGTGTCAAAATAGAAGTGACATTTTGATTATTCTGAGTACTATTCTATAAGCACTATTGATGTGAAATATCACTGAATTTGAAATATAAGTAACAAAAATAACTAGTAAAAAAATAACTAGTAAAAATAACTAGTAAAAAATATTATATTATATTCGTCATATTTTTGAAATAGTGCTGCAATATTGCTAAAGTAATATTGCAAATTAATGTCACTGCAATGTCTCTGCAATATTGCTAAAGTAATATTGCAAATTAATGTCACTGCAATGTCTCCGTAATATTGCACTGCAATATGCAATCTTGCAACGTTGTAGCAATGTTGCTGCAAGCTTCTGTGCTGTATGGGAATAAACATTGGCATTACATGAAAATTGGCAAAATAAAATTTTTGATATAGTAAATATTAAAGTTTTTGTTACAAACGTTACAAAATAAAATCTGAATTCTTTATCATTAAACAATAAAACGTAAATAATTAATTCTTAAATCTGTGTCCCTTTTAAAATAAAAGAGTTTGTACTACAACAAAAGGATTTTTTAAAGTGGAATGAAAAAAATATCAAAAATAAATAAATAAATATATATTTAAAAATAAATAAATAAATATATATTTAGGAACTCAGCTCGTTAACATCTTTCCGTGTGTAATACGTAAACTTTTTATTCGTAGAAACGAAAGGGAAACTTATATCGTAACTTCAATACAGATATTTTTCTCCTTGTAACATCTATTTTTATTAATTATATGATATATAATTTTAATCGGTTAGTTGAAAACTCGAATAGACTTTTTGCTTTATTCGATGGTTAACTAGCTACTTTTTAAAAATCCAAAACGCGAAAGATCATCGATGGTTACTTAGTTCATGAAAAATTTGTTTCCGTTGAATGCGATCAGATCTAATTTGACTCGAAAATCGAGCCAAATTTTTCCACTTAAAAAGTAAACAACTGTCATGCATATTATTGCATATTATTATGCACGATTATTATTCTAAATAATGAAATATCTCGTGATTCTGATTATACTAACTTGCGACACGGAAAGTAAGGAAAAATATAGCTACGTAGCAACATGGAATTATTCTTTATATATGCACGTGTTATTAAAATCGTTATAAGCGTTTTGAATACGGTTCTTATAAGTACGTGTGATTGCTGTTCTAAGTTATCTTCACTTCGTACGATCGTATATGTTTATAAAATATTCATATTGTTTGATCTGATCTGTAAAAATACAAAAACAAGTTATAAAAATAATTATTATGTAATAATGTACAACGTGTTTGAAGATAAATTATAATGTACCCAGATAGAAAAATGATGTCATGTTGCGCTCAGCACGCGTTCATATATTGACGTGGATGATTGCAAAAATGCATACAAATGTGTGCGCATATGCTGCTCATATGTCGTTCATGTAATGATGATCAGAAAAATATCTCATCTAATAACATTATGATAACAAAACTTGATGAACTAGACATATTCGTATATCATTTGTGTACATCTTGTGCTCATGTCATGTTAATCACATAATGATTTTTAAAAAGATATCAAGGTGAAATCAAAGTATGACATCACATTATGATGAAACGTGATCATCACGCATTTCTATCTGTGTAGTCACATAAACGTGTAAGAGCCATATCAAGAACGCTTACAACAATTTAGTGAGAAATAATTCATCTATCGACATCTAAACGATGTCGAATCAATCAATTTGATAGTTTCTACATTGATTCGACATCATTTCGGCATCAATTAACGAGTCATTTCTCGTGGAGATTGTTAGCGCGCTCAGTAGGATTATAAACCTTTACTCGATGAGTAAATTAGTACTGCACTAGCAAATCAGAACAAAAATAGTAAAGATCTTTTGACAAAGATTAGTTCAATGTTATTCATGTTATGTTTAATTCAATGTTATTCTTTCCATAGAGTAGAATTTTGGAAATAAGCTCAGCCGTCTAATATCGTTGTATACGCATTCTTATTATAATCTTTGTATAATTATGTGACTGCGTTCTAATTTATTTTTAAAGATTTTGTATACTTAAAAAAAAAATTAAAAAGATGTAAATTTAACGTAAATAAAATCATGTTGTAAAAGAAAATGTAAAATATTAACAATAAAGATTTATCTCGATATTTATAATGACAGATATATGTACTTTGCTCTTTGAATCCTCAAAGCGGCTTGTGCAAGCCATTTTGATATGGAGTCTGCAACTTCCTTGTCTGTTACCTAGTCGTGTAATATTTGAACAGCTTCTGTAGTATAAAAGTGTTGAGCAATATATTAAAAATATTATCTAAAGTAAATATATGTATACATATAAATATATATCGAGATAGATCACAAAATTATTTGATATGACGCTAACTTTTATATAATTTTTTTTCTACTTGGATGTTTCATATATGAATGTTATATCTTCATTAACTTACGTGCAATAACTTTTGCAAGATGTAAATCTTAGTAATAACTTCTTAGTAATTGGTGTCGACCCCGAGGCTTATTTGTATTATTTGCACCGGATGAGGAAGGGCAACGGTGGAGACGGGCATACATGGACAGCAAGTCTTAAAGGATAGCAACCTTTGACTTTGAGAGACTGACAACTGTACCATTTGGTACAGTAACATTGTTTCTCTCTGTAGTTGCCGTGCACTCGGGATCGCGCCAGAGATGTCGCTTCCGAACGGCATCTCTGAGCGTTATCTAGGGAGAGGAGAGTGTCGTGAGGGTGGAGCGTCAGGTAGCTCAGTGGTTTAGAGCAGTCGCCCGGTAAGCGAAAGACTCGGGTTCGAGTCCCGGCTTTAGCAAGACCGCGCTCTCAATATTTTTCTCTCTCTGGAGCGAAAAGATACGCAGATCTCGAACGCACGGCGTCCCGCCGCCAGCTAGTATGCCCTCCTCCTTCTATGGAGGAACTAGCGAAATCGAGTACGACCATTAACAAAACGATACGAAAAGAATGCAATCTATGATTGGTCACGCTTTGCTTTTTCTGTTTCTTCGACAATTACCGCGCCATGGGACTCCATGAGCCTTAACCATGGACGTAAGAATATATGGACGGAGCGACCCTTATAGAAATATCATACTAAGAAATACTGAAAAATTATTAGTGATTAAATATTACCAGTAATTCAGTAATTTTTTGGCCAGTACTTAATTTCTGGTGAATACTGATAATAAAATCACTGTTAAATATTGATAGTAATCAAATATGAGAATTATTATGCAAAGATGAAAAATGAGAAAATCATGTTTACAAAAATATACTTATATTCCTAATTTTCTCATGTCTCATAAACTACTAGATATCGAAGGTTGTCAACACATTTCTGTGATATATATCCTGCATCAAATTTATTATCTATTTGCCATCAAAAGTTGATAGCAAAATCTGTTCGCGCAGATTTGGCTATCTGGGAATATTTGAGGAGTATTGAAAATTATATTATTAATAATATTAAGGAAAAATTTGTTATTATATAATATTAATAAAATTAATTATTATAAAATTTTATTATATTAATATATACCCAGCAAGCAAAATGCTGGCAGCATGCTGGCAGTATAACGGCAGATTGAATCATGGTTATGCAGCAGATTTCAAACAACTGTGTCCTCATTAAGCTTAATTTTTTCTGCAACGTGTTACCGATAAAGTGTACCGGAAAAAATGTAACAGAAATATATCATCATTTGCCCTAATAATATAATTGCAAAAATATGTTGTCTTCCACGCATAGCCTGATTTCTATATCAATGACGCGACAACCCTTATAGAAATATCATACTAAGAATCATTGACAATTACTTATTATCCAGTATTTTTAATACTGAAAATAAGTAATTATCAATGATTCTTAGTATGATATTTCTATAAGGGAAGGGCGGTAGAAACAGAACACGATTTGCTGTCACGGTATGACAATAGAAATATAGAAGATATATCACACAACGTGCTACATCATGTACTAACGACAGAAATACGGCAGAAATCGATTATGACGTGCTTTCGAACGTGAGGACAGAAACGCAGCAGAAATCGATCAGGACATGTCGCTCGAACGTAACAGCAGAAACGCAACAGAAATTGATCATGATGGGCGTCCGAAAGCAACGGTAGATACGAGGCAAAAATGCCCTGATGGAAAAATTTTGCTGAAATTATAATGAAACTTGCTGGAAACGTAATGAAATGTGCTGAAATTTTGCTGAAAAACTTAATTAATTGACCCACGTTCATTATGATTTCAGTAATCATCGAAAATCAGCGAAATCGTCGTAAATTTCAGCAATATTCATTGAAAATCAGCGAAATTTCAGTGAATTTCAATAAATTTCAATAAAATTCAATAGAAAATCATTGAAATTTAAAATAAAAAAAAATGTCCCATACAGCACAGTAATGTTGAATCAATTTTCTTCATGTCTCATATAACTGCTAGGAACCGAAGATTGTCAAACACATTCTAAAATTTTCGCGACCTCCCTCGATAATTTCGAATCCGAAGCGGTTATATGCCCGTTCACCCATCAATACCTTACTTTGTTAAAGGTGTGCCTAACCTGATAATCGCACGCGGCACGCGGTGATGTCAATGACTTCAACGATGTTCTTACAGTTTATGCTCATATAATGTGTATTTATAGTGTTCACAGTATATTATAACGTACCTAGCAAATTCGCGCGTTGATTCGCCAATATATTTTATTTAATATCTCTAAAGTTTATGTGGTTATTTGCAAAATGACTTCGATCATTCTTTTCAGTTTAATGTTTTTTATGCATTTTATGTTATCGATACAGCTTGCATCAGACTCTGTATAATAGATAATATTTTGAAATAAAAGAATATTCTTTATGGTTTGCGCAAAATTGTTTAAACGCATTTCAATTTTATATAAACAATAAGAAAAATACACATGATAATGGTATATTGTAATATAATATGAATAATATATATGTATTAATATAATAAAATTTAATAATAATTTATTTTATTATTATTATTATTATTATTATTATATCAATAATATAATTTTCAATGTTCCTCAAATATAGTTACAACATTGCAAAATATTGTAGTTTTTGTACAATATACATTCAACATTGCAGCTGTATCTGGTTATCAATATTGAAAAATCAACATGAATTTCATGCAAAAAAATATCCGCACTTCTATCTTCAATGTTGCATCAACGTCTCATCAACGTTCTTTCAATGTTTTGTGCTGTATGGGTATTATTTAGCATGTTTATCATTGTTGTGTTAGCACTGGTCCATACGGATGTTTGGGAGATAAAAGACAAAAATTTATATTTATATACATATATATTTATGTTTATGTGTCTCATGTACTTGTATTATAATAAATATGGACATTTTCACTACAATAAGTGTATGGTACTTCTTTAAATTTGTAATAATTTTTTTAAAGACACACATACATCTAATTAAATAGATTATCTTTATAAATAATATTAAATTTCATATATCTTTTAATCTACAAGTAAATATTACATGCTAATTAACGATTGCTCTAAATGCAATATTACATACAAATTAACAATCGTATGAATTAATCTTGAAACATAATGAAGAAATCAGATTTCCATATGATTTCAGTAAAGTTCGATATATTTTAGTAATTTTCATCGACATTTTAATGAGAGAATTTTCATATTCTAACATTTAGAGAAATAAAAAATTACATTTTAATACATTAGTCAATTATCATCAATTATCAGCAAAATTCAGCATGATTTCGTTATTTAGTCAAAACTTTTCACGAAGATTTTCATTGATCAATAAATGAAGTACATTAAGGAGTTATTTACAATTCATTATAAATTGTAATTGTTTCATCAAGTTTCAGCGCAATTCAGCAAAATTTTTAAAATTATTGAGAAATGTTTTTACGAATTTTTTTCATCAAAATTTCAGCAAAGTTTCAATACAATTTACTCAGTTTTTATTATAATTTAATAAATTTTATTAAATATTTCAATATTTTTTCATTACTTTTCATCAATATTCATTAAAAATTCATTGTTTTTCCATACTTTTCACTACAATTCATGAAATGAAAATCATGATTCATGATGAAATATTTTCAGCAACTTTTCAGTAACTTTCATTTCTCATTTCGACGATTTCATTGTATTTTCAATGATTTCATTGCATTTTCAACAAATTTTTTCCATCAGGATGCAATACAAAATTTATATTTTTTTGCAGTATTCCCTCAACGACTGACTTAATTATTAATTAATGAATTTAAGGAAGGTACTACAAAGATATACAATAAATTTGTTGAATAAATTCCTGGCAAAGTAATAATAATAAAACTGTTAGTTATAATTTTCCACTCGACGGTGTAAACAGTTACATGGTTGAGAGGGAAATTATAACGCACAATTATGTTAATGTTATTTTGTGTTTGCTGAGTTGTTTTGGAAAATTTATTATGTATATATAAATGTCATACAAATCATTTTATATACTGTACAATTTTATCATAATTTTATTATCTAATTTAT